TCTGTCACTGTTCAAATAAACCTACCATTAAAATTATAGACTGATCATTTCTTTGTCAGTGGGTAAACGTACAAAATCAGCAGGGGATCAAATACTTTTTTCCCCTCACTGTATATAATAATCAAAGTATTGTAATAATCTCTGTTCTCTCTCTTTATTCACTCTCAGGTCCAACAGAACATTCTACTACAGGCCAAACAGCAGCACAGCCAGCCCCAACCTCAGCCCCAGTTCAGCTCACAGCAACAACAAGATGTGCCTGCTCTTCAGATCCCCCAGCAGCCCCAGTTCAGCTCCCAGCAGGCGTCTGTGCTGGTCAAGACTCCTGCCACAGGTCAGAAAGAAACAACATTCATAGGTGCCAAAAACAACAACCCTGATGAAGACCAAAAGCCGAAACGCGTTGGTTCTACTTTAAGCAATAAATACGCTTTTTTATTTATCTCAGTTGTCCTCCAAGTGTTGCTGAATCTCCTGTCTTCTTCAGTTTGCTCCTCAATTCAAGCACTTTGGTTGGCAGTGATCCCTTCATAAAAACGACAACTACACTGAAATGTCTTCCTGGTCTGATTCCTCTCTCTCTCTCTCTTCAGCATCCAATGACGTGCAGGTGTTCTCAGGAGTTCAGGGTCAAGGTGGAGTTCAGGTGAACCAGGGGGGCGTGGCTCCAGCTAGCTTTAACCAGTTAGGACACCAGCCTGGCCAACAGTCACTACACCAGGTAACGCCTACTGACGCTCACTGCTCCTTTCAACCAGTTGATGAAGTAGTGACTCCTTTTTAAGTAAAATGAAAGCTTTATTGTCCATCCAATTGACATGAATAAGAATGTGTTCTTAACTGACATACCCTGGATAAAGGTTAAATAAGATAAATATGTAGAAAACATGATTTGGTATCTCTACCTCTTCCGTCTGCCCCCCAGTCAAAGCCAGAAGGACTGATCGGACAGATGGGGGGGAGGAGCCTGGGGATGATCCAGGTGATGGGGTCAGGTCTGGGTCAGATGATCTCTACACAGCAGACCGCTGGTCTGGCCTCGCTACAAGCACCGGTGAGGAGACCCTCAACCAATCCTACTGGGTCCATTTATTTCTGTATGGCAGTGGTTGTTCATCCTGGTCCCGGGGACCCAAAGGAGCCTACGTTGTTGTTGTCCTTGCACTCCACTCCTGATTAAAATGATCGATGGCTTGGTGATGAGTTGATTAGTGGAATAAGGAGTGTAGTCCAGGAGTGTACAGCCCTTTGGATTCCCAGGACAAGGGTTGAGAAACGCTGTTGTATGTAATGACCTAATCTGTCTAATGAATCTGACCATATATATGTGTTCTTATGGTGTGATGGTGCTATGGTGTGATGGTCATGGATGGTGTGATGGTCATGGATGGTGCTATGGTGTGATGGTCATGGATGGTGCTATGGTGTGATGGTCATGGATGGTGCTATGGTGTGATGGTCATGGATGGTGCTATGGTGTGATGGTCATCTATGGTGTGATGGTCATGGATGGTGTAATGATGCTATGGTGTGATGGTTCTATGGTGTGATGGTCATGGATGGTTCTATGGTGTGATGGTCATGAATGGTGTGATGGTCATGGATTGTTCTATGGTGTGATGGTTCTATGGTGTGATGGTCATGAATGGTTTGTCTTATTCACCTGACAGACTGCTACTATGAAGATGCCTTTCAGTATTGCTGAACCCAGCAAGGAAGCCAGGTATGCTCCTATATCATACTCCTGTTTCATCATCCTGTATCATGCTACTATATCATAATCCTGTATCCATGTCCCACCGGATAGGGTTAGTAGTATGATAGGTCCAGTGTAATGTGTTGTTTTACAGGGTCAGACATAGTAGTATGATAGGTCCAGTGTAATGTGTTGTTTTACAGGGTCAGCCATAGTAGTATGATAGGTCCAGTGTAATGTGTTGTTTTACAGGGTCAGCCATAGTAGTATGATAGGTCCAGTGTAATGTGTTGTTTTACAGGGTCAGCCATAGTAGTATGATAGGTCCAGTGTAATGTGTTGTTTTACAGGGTCAGCCATAGTAGTATGATAGGTCCAGTGTAATGTGTTGTTTTACAGGGTCAGCCATAGTAGTATGATAGGTCCAGTGTAATGTGTTGTTTTACAGGGTCAGCCATAGTAGTATGATAGGTGCAGTGTAATGTGTTGTTTTACAGGGTCAGCCATAGTAGTATGATAGGTCCAGTGTAATGTGTTGTTTTACAGGGTCAGCCATAGTAGTATGATAGGTGCAGTGTAATGTGTTGTTTTACAGGGTCAGCCATAGTAGTATGATAGGTGCAGTGTAATGTGTTGTTTTACAGGGTCAGCCATAGTAGTATGATAGGTCCAGTGTAATGTGTTGTTTTACAGGGTCAGCCATAGTAGTATGATAGGTGCAGTGTAATGTGTTGTTTTACAGGGTCAGCCATAGTAGTATGATAGGTGCAGTGTAATGTGTTGTTCTACAGGGTCAGCCATAGTAGTATGATAGGTCCAGTGTAATGTGTTGTTCTACAGGGTCAGCCATAGTAGTATGATAGGTCCAGTGTAATGTGTTGTTTTACAGGGTCAGCCATAGTAGTATGATAGGTGCAGTGTAATGTGTTGTTTTACAGGGTCAGTCATAGTAGTATGATAGGTGCAGTGTAATGTGTTGTTTTACAGGGTCAGCCATAGTAGTATGATAGGTGCAGTGTAATGTGTTGTTTTACAGGGTCAGCCATAGTAGTATGATAGGTGCAGTGTAATGTGTTGTTTTACAGGGTCAGCCATAGTAGTATGATAGGTGCAGTGTTGTTTTACAGGGTCAGACATAGTAGTATGATAGGTGCAGTGTAATGTGTTGTTTTACAGAGTCAGCCATAGTAGTATGATAGGTCCAGTGTAATGTGGTGTTTTACAGGGTCAGCCATAGTAGTATGATAGGTGCAGTGTAATGTGTTGTTTTACAGGGTCAGCCATAGTAGTATGATAGGTGCAGTGTAATGTGTTGTTTTACAGGGTCAGCCATAGTAGTACGGCACCCCTGGAGCAAATTAGGGTTAAGTGCCTTGCCCTTATGTGCACGTGCATGCGTGTTGTTATACAACTTTTTAAAAGTATGACAATTCAGTCTTGTGACCTATGTTCTCCGACCCTGTGTAGGATGTTGGAGCAGCTGAGGAAGCAGCAGGGTTCAGTCCTCCACCCAGACTACAGCTCTTCCTTCCAGTGCTTTGAAGACACCCTGACCCGCCTGGTACCTTACCACCTCTACCAGGGCACTGCCACCTCACCACACGACTACCACAGAGGTACATACACCCTGACCCGCCTGGTGCCTTACCATATCTACCAGGGCACTGCCACCTCACCACACGACTACCACAGAGGTACACACACCCTGACCCGCCTGGTACCTTACCATATCTACCAGGGCACTGCCACCTCACCACACGACTACCACAGAGGTACACACACCCTGACCCGCCTGGTGTCTTACCACCTCTACCAGGGCACTGCCACCTCACCACACGACTACCACAGAGGTACACACACCCTGACCCGCCTGGTGCCTTACCATATCTACCAGGGCACTGCCACCTCACCACACGACTACCACAGAGGTATACACACCCTGACCCGCCTGGTGTCTTACCACCTCTACCAGGGCACTGCCACCTCACCACACGACTACCACAGAGGTACACACACCCTGACCCGCCTGGTGCCTTACCACCTCTACCAGGGCACTGCCACCTCACCACACGACTACCACAGAGGTATACACACCCTGACCCGCCTGGTACCTTACCATATCTACCAGGGCACTGCCACCTCACCACACGACTACCACAGAGGTACATACACCCTGACCCGCCTGGTGCCTTACCATATCTACCAGGGCACTGCCACCTCACCACACGACTAGCACAGAGGTACACACACCCTGACCCGCCTGGTACCTTACCATATCTACCAGGGCACTGCCACCTCACCACACGACTACCACAGAGGTACACACACCCTGACCCGCCTGGTACCTTACCATATCTACCAGGGCACTGCCACCTCACCACACGACTACCACAGAGGTACATACACCCTGACCCGCCTGGTGCCTTACCATATCTACCAGGGCACTGCCACCTCACCACACGACTAGCACAGAGGTACACACACCCTGACCCGCCTGGTACCTTACCATATCTACCAGGGCACTGCCACCTCACCACACGACTACCACAGAGGTACACACACCCTGACCCGCCTGGTACCTTACCATATCTACCAGGGCACTGCCACCTCACCACACGACTACCACAGAGGTACACACACCCTGACCCGCCTGGTACCTTACAAAGCATTTCACGGTGATGTCTACACCTGTTGTATTTTGCGCATGTGGCAAATAAGATTTGATTTACTCAGTACTTTGTTGAAGCACCTTTGGCAGCGATTACAACCTTGAGTCTTCTTGGGTATGACGCTACAAGCTTGGCACAACTGTATTTGGGGAGTTTCTCCCATTCTTCTCTGCAGATCCTCTCAAGCTCTGTCAGGTTGGATGGGGAGCATCGCTGCACAGCTATTTTCAGGTCTCTCCAGAGATGTTCGATCGGGTTCAAGTCCGGGCTCTGGCTGGGCCACTCAAGAACATTCAGAGACTTGTCTCGAAGCCACTCCTGCGTTGTCTTGGCTGTGTGCTTAGGGTCATTGTCCTGTTGGAAGGGGAACCTTCGCCCCAGTCTGAGGTCCTGAGTGCTCTGGAGAAGGTTTTCATCAAGGATCTCTCTGTAGTTTGTGCCGTTCATCTTTGCCTCAATCCTGACTAGTCTCCCAGTCCCTGCCGCTGAAAAACATCCCCACAGCATGATGCTGCCACCACCATGCTTCACCGTAGGGATGGTGCCAGGTTTCTTCCAGACGTGACGCTTGGCTTTCAGGCCGAAGAGTTCAATCTTGGTTTCATCAGACCAGAAAATCTTGTTTCTCATGGTCTGAGAGTCTTTAGGTGCCTTTTGACAAACTCCAAGCGGGCTGTCATGTGCCTTTTACTGAGGAGTGGCTTCTGTCTGGCCACTCTACCATAAAGGCCTGATTGGTGGAGTGCTGCAGAGATGGTTGTCCTTCTGGAAGGTTCTCCCATCTCCACAGAGGAACTCTAGAGCTCTGTCAGAGTGGCCATTGGGTTCTTGGTCACCTCCCTGACCAAGGCCCTTCTCCCCCAATTTCTCAGTTTGGCCGGGCGGCCAGTTCCAAATTTCTTCCATTTAAGAATGATGGAGGCCACTGTGTTCTTGGACATTCAAAGCTGCAAAAATGTTTTGGTACCCTTTCCCAAATCTGTGCCTCGACACAATCCTGTCTCGGAGCTCTACGGGCAATTCCATTTGACCTCATGGCTTGGTTTTTGCTCTGGAGAGACCTGAAAATAGCTGTGCAGCGACGCTCTCCCGTCCAACCTGACAGAGCTTGAGTGGATCTGCAGAGAAGAATGTGAGAAACTCCCCAAATACAGGTGTGCCAAGCTTCATACCCAAGAAGACTCGGCTGTAATCGCTACCAAAGGTGCTTCAACAAAGTACATAGTAAAGGGTCTGAATACTTAAGTACATTTTAATAGTTCTCTTTTAAATTTGTAAACGTTCATAAAAAACATTATGGGGTGTGTAGATAGACGAAGAAAAACAACAACAATTTAATCAATTTTAGAATAATAACGTAACAATACGAGGAAAAAGTCAAGGGGTCTGAATACTTTCCGAATGCACCATATATATACATACACACACACAGTACCAGTCAAAAGTTTGGACACACCTACTCATTCAAGGGTTTTTCTTTATTTTTACTATTTTCTACATTGTACATTGTTTTCATGGAAAACAAGGAAATGTCTAAGTGACCCCAAACCTTTGAACGGTAGTGTATATATTTGTATTTTATTTTTTATAATAAATATTTTTTGCTATTTAGTGTTGCTACGTCGTCTGTTCCTGTGCCAAAACTCCAGTATTTTTCATCATATAGCTGGTTCTCCATCCTTTTTTTAAACAGTGAGGCAGACAACATGTTTTCAGCACTTATTATTTCCATGACTGATCAAAACTCATTTTCTCATGCTCTCTCGTCTCTCTGCAGCAGACATAGTGAGCAATATGTTTGGAACATCAAATCACAATAAAATCACAATACATTGAGAATCGCAATACATATTGAATCGTGAGAATCGCATGACATATCGTATCGCGACCTAAGTATCGTGATAATATCGTATCGCGGGGTCCATGGCAATTCCCAGCCTTAATGTGTATGGTCGGGACTGACCACATGACCTGACCAGAAACTCCTTGCCCTGATTACCATTGGTTCCGTCTGTCTGATCTCCCCTGTTCCATTCTGTCCCTCTCTGCCCCCCAGTGGATGATGAGTTTGAGAGTGTTTCCAGCCAGCTCCTAAAGAGAACACAGGCCATGCTGGATAAATACAGACACCTGCTTTTTGAGGAATCAACGGTAAGTTATAAATATTATATTACGTTAATAGCTATTTTTTTTTATCACATTGATCTCAATCGTTCTTGTCCTTCACTTCTCCCTGTATTTCAGTCTGTCTCCTTATACAGCCCTCCCTCATTAGGATTCCTTCTCAAGATTATTTATTTTACATTTTTAGTCATTTAGCAGACGCCCTTATCCAGAGCGACTTACAGGAGCAATTAGGGTTAAGTGCCTTGCTCAAGGGCACATCAACAGATTTTTCACCTAGTCGGCTCGGGGATTAGAACCAGCGACCTTTCGGTTACTGGCACAACGCTCTTACCCACTAAGCTACCTGCCGCCCATTTATCTGTTCTGTCTGTTCAGTTCATTCTCTCCCTCGCTATGATTGGCTAACTGATGTGCTATGGTGTATTGATTGATTGATTGATTGATTAATTGTCTGGCTGGCTGTTCCTGTTGTGTGTTTCACAGCGCCTTGGCCCGTCAGCTGAGATGGTAATGATGGACAGGATGTTTATTCAGGAAGAGAAGATCTCTCTGGGACAGGACCGCATCCTCGCCAGGGACAGACCTGGTAACACTATACAGTATATAGATATATATGGGTATCGTGTGTACGTGTGTATAGTCTACATACACCACATGACCAAAAGTATGTGGACATCTGTATATGTAGATAGATATGGATGGATGGATATACACTGCATGACCAAAAGTATGTGGACACCTGCTCGCCGAACATCTCATTTCAAAATCATGGGCATTAATATGGAGTTGGTCCCCCATTCGCTGCTATAACAGCCTCCACTCTTCTGGGAAGGCTTTCCACTAGATATTGGAATATTGCTGCAGCCACGAGCATTAGTGAAGTCGGGCTCTGATGTTGGGCGATTAGGCCTGGCTCGCAGTCGGCGTTCCAATTCATCCCAAAGGTGTTCGATGGGGTTAAGGTCAGGGCTCTGTGCAGGCCAGTCAAGTTCTTCCACACTGATCTCAACCAACCATTTCTGTATGGACCTCGCTTTGTGCTCGGTGGGATTGTCATGCTGAAACAGGAAAGGGCCTTCCCCAAACTGTTGCCACAAAGGTGGAAGCACAGAATCATCTAGAATGTCATTGTATGCTGTAGCGTTAAGATTTCCCTTCACTGGAACTAAGGGGCCTGAATCATGAAAAACAGCCCCAGACCATTATTTATCCTCCACCAAACTTTACAGTTGGCACTATTCATTGGGGCCGGTAGCTTTCTCCTGGTATCCGCCAAACCCAGATTTCCTGGTGAAGCGTGATTCATCACTCCAGAGAACTAGTTTCCACTGCTCCAGAGTCCAATGGTGGCGAGTTTTACACCACTCCAGCCGATGCTTGGAATTGCGCATGGTGATCTTAGGCTTGTGTGAGGCTGCTCGGCCATGGAAACCCATTTCATGAAGCTCCTGACGAACAGTTTGCTTCCAGAGGCAGTTTGGAACTTGGTAGTGAGTGTTGCAACCGAGGATAGACCGTTTTTACGTGCTTCAGCACTCAGCGGTCCCGTTCTGTGAACTTGTGTGGCCTACCACTTCGCAGCTGAGCCGTTGTTGCTCCTAGACGTTTCCACTTCACAATAACAGCACTTATAGTTGACTGGGGCAGCTCTAGCAGGGCAGAAATGTGACCAACTGACTTGTTGGAAAGGTAGCATCCTATGATGGTGCCACGTTGAAAGTCACTGAGCTCTTCAGTGAAATAGCCGATTCCACTAATTTGAAGGGGTGTCTACCTACTTTTGTATATATAGTGTGTGTGTGTATATATGTGTGTGTGTATATATATGTGTATGTGTATCTATATATACACCTACTCATTCAAGGGTTTTTCTTTATTTGTACATTGTAGAATAATAGTGAAGACATCAAACCTATGAAATAACACATATGGAATCATGTAGTAACCAAAAAGTGTTAAACAAATCAAAATATATTTGAGATTCTTCAAACAGCCACCCTTTGCCTTTATGACAGCTTTGCACACTCTTGGCATTCTCACAACCAGCTTCACCTGGAATGCTTTTCCAACAGTCTTGAAGGAGTTCCCAACCAGAGCAGCGAACAGTTTTGACTGGGCTGAGCGGGAGCTGTGCTTCCGCAGAGGAAGGGGAGCCAGCAGGCCAGAGGTGGATGAACGCAATGTCCTCGTTTGGGTGTAGGGACTGATCAGAGCCTGAAGGTACAGAGGTGCCGTTCCCCTCACTGCTCCATAGGCAAGCACCATGGTCTTGTAGCGGATGCGAGCTTCAACTGGAAGCCAGTGGAGTGTGCGGAGGAGGGGGGTGACGTGAGAGAACTTGGGAAGGTTGAACACCAGACGGGCTGCGGCATTCTGGATGAGTTGTAGGGGTTTAATGGCACAGGCAGGGAGCCCAGCCAACAGCGAGTTGCAGTAGTCCAGACGGGAGATGACAAGTGCAAGAGATGACATATGCTGAGCACTTGTTGGCTGCTTTTCCTTCACTCTGCCGTCCGACTCATCCCAAACCATCTCAATTGGGTTGAGTTCGCGGGATTGTGGAGGCCAGGCCATCTGATGCAGCACTCTCCTTCTTGGTAAAATAGCCCTTACACAGCCTGGAGGTGTGTTGGGACATTGTCCTGTTGGAAAAACAAATGGTAGTCTCACTAAGCGCAAACCAGATGGGATGGCGTATCGCTGCAGAATGCTGTGGTAGCCATGCTGGTTAAGTGTGCCTTGAATTCTAATTAAATCACAGACAGTGTCACCAACAAAGCACCCCCACACCTTAACACCACCTCATCCATGCTTTACGGTTGGAAATACACATGCAGAGATCATCCATTCACCCACACCACGTCTCACAAAGACACGGCAGTTGGAACCAAAAATCTCAAATTTGGACTCCAGACCAAAGGACAAATTTCCACCGGTCTAATGTCCATTGCTCGTTTTTCTTGGCCCAAGTAGGTCTCTTCTTCTTATTGGTGTCCTTTAGTAGTGGTTTCTTTGCAGCAATTCGACCATGAAGGCCTGATTCACACAGTCCCCTCTGAACAGTTGATGTTGAGATGTGTCTGTTACTTGAACTCTGAAGCATTTATTTGGGCTGCAATTTTATGTCATCCAACAAATGTTTGCAAACAGCTTTGGCTATATAAAGCAGGCAGACCGGAATCAAGGCATTCCGTTACTGTTCTATTGAACATTAGAATGGGTAAAACGAGTGACCTAAGCGACTTCAAGCGCGATATGATCGCCGGTTCCAGGTGCCGGTTCCAGTATCTCAGAAACGGCCGGCCTCCTGAGCTTTTCACGCACGACAGTGTCTAGGGTTTACCGAGAATGGTGCGACAAACAAAAAAACTCCAGTCTGCGGCCGTCCTGTGGGCGAAAACAGCTCGTTGATGAGAGAGGTCGAAGGAGAATGGCGAGAATTGTGCAAGCTAACAGGCGGGCCACAAACGGGTGCCGTGGAAATTCTACACAGGGACACTCAAAAGTCAATCTTAAATTAATAATTATTTATTATCAGCATGCTGGAGATGTTCCAACCAACTCAATGCACCAAGTACACGTGTTGATCGGGAGCTCCCCTTATATACTGGTTACAGACATATCACATAGGCATAGTTCATAAGGTTGGTTCCTGCATGTATCTGGCACCGTTTCCTATCTTAACTTATAGAACATATTCTGGGCGTTCTGCCAGATGGTCTTTAGGTGGAGGTCATGTCGCCTCCCCCTCCCCCCTCATATCTTTACCAAGCACAGGCAGGAACCAAGGATTATTTACAACACTAAGACAAGATGAACATTTTCAAGGCTGTCTCTTCAAATGATGATAAACATTTCCATCACATTCCATCCTCTTATCATAATAATCATTGCATTTTAACGTAAGCATTTAGATTTTAGCTTCTATATCAAAATACATAATTATAATAAATCATAATAAAGGTTATACTTCTATTAACGGGAGTGAATCTAATTTCATTCATAATCATCATAATAAAGCTAAAATCTACAATGAAAGTAATAAGTAATAAGTAAAAATAGCAACACTTTAAACCACAGACGCTTTCAAACCCTTCATTCTGGGTTGTACGATCCAACTTGTAAAACCGTTGCAGTAGAATGTTTTAACTTAAAACCTTCGCTTCATACAGTTACACAATTTCATTAATGCATTCTGGCAATGAGATTTCAGCTGGAGCTTTTGTCGCGAGTGGCATGTTAAAGACAAATCGGTATCTCAATGCGTTCTTAGTCTAAATTACTATACATTTTGCAGTGTGCAGACCTCCACAATCAACATGATATCCCAGATAAACCATTTTGGATAAGCCTAAATGTAATTACGGGCGTGGTTGACCGCACCCCTCCCTCCCCGGCACTCATTCTACTGGCGTTTCAGTTCGTCCTCCCAATGGCACATGTTCAAAGTGGATGGCCCTTTAATAATGTACCGATTTCTCTCACCTGTCCTTTACAGTCCATTATGTCTTGTCCATTTTCCTACCAGTACACCAGCAGCATGAGAGAAGTTTGGACGGGATCTCTCTCCATGCTCACTCCACGTGGACTCATGTCACACTCCTGAGAGAAAAGGCTAATTTTAATGCACAGAGATAACGTGACGAGATTCTGAGGCCCATTTGTGAGGCCCGTTTCTTTTAAGGTATCTGTGACCAACAGATGCATATCTGTATTCCCAGTCATGTGAAGTCCATAGATTAGGGCCTAATGAATTTATTTCAATGATTGATTTCCTCATATGAACTGTAACTCAGTTAAATATTTGAAATTGTTGCTTGTTTATATGTTTGTTCTGTGTGTATAGCTGGATCTATAGATCTACAGTGCGTTCTGAAAGTATTCAGACCCCTTGATATTTTTCCAAATTTGTTACGTTACAGACTTATTCTAAAATTGATTACATTTTCCCCCCTCATCAATCTACACACACTACCCCATAATGACAAAGCGAAAACAGGTTTTTAGAAATGTTAGCAAATGTATTTAAAATAAAAAACAGAAATATCTTAACATAAGTATTCCGACCCTTTGCTATGAGACTAGAAATTGAGCTCAGGTGCATCCTGTTTCCATTGATCATCCTTGATGTTTTACAACTTGATTGGAGTCCACCTGTGGTAAATTCAATTGATTGGACATGATTTGGAAAGGCACACACCTGTCTATATAAGGTCCCACAGTTGACAGGGCATGTCAGAGCAAAAACCAAGCCATGAGGTCAAAAGAATTGTCCGTAGAGCTCCGAGACAGGATTGTGTCGAGGCACAGCTCTGGGGAAGAGTTCCAAAAAATGTCTGCAGCATTGACGGTCCCCATGAACACAGTGGCCTCAATCGTTCTTGAAGAAGTTTGGAACCACCAACACTCTTCCTAGAACTGGCTGCCTGGCCAAACTGAACAATTGGGGCAGAAGGGCCTTGGTCAGGGAGGTGCCCAAGCACCCGATGGTCACTCTGACAGAGCTCCAGAGTTCCTCTGTGGAGATGGGAGAACCTTCCAGAAGGACAGCCATCTCTGCAGCACTCCACCAATCAGGCCTTTATGGTAGGGTGGCCTCAGTAAAAGGCACATGACAGCCCGCTTGGTTTGCCAAAAGGCACTTAAAGGACTCAGACCATGAGAAACAAGATTCTCTGGTCTGATGAAACCAATATTGAACTCTTTGGCATGAATGCCAAGCATCATGTCTGGAGGAAACCTGGCACCATCCCTACGGTGAAGCATGGTGGTGGCAGCATCATGCTGTGGGGATGTTTTTCAGCGGCAGGGACTGGGAGACTAGTCGAGGGAAAGATGAACGGAGCAAAGTACAGAGAGATCCTTGATGAAAACCTGCTCCAGAGCGCTCAGGACCTCAGACTGGGGCGAAGGTTCACCCTCCAACAGGACAACGACCCTAAGCACACAGCCAAGACAACGCAGGAGTGGCTACGGTACAGCGGCCCAGTGGCCCAGCCAGAGCCTGGACTTGAACCCGATCAAACATCTCTGGAGAGACCTGAAAATAGCTGTGCAGCGACACTCCCCATCCAACCTGACAGAGCTTGAAAAGATTGTAGCGTCATACAGTAGAATATTTGAGGCTGTAATTGCTGCCTAAGGTGCTTCAACAAAGTACTGAGTAAAGGGTCTGAATACTTATGTAAATGTGATATTTCAGTTTTTGATTTTTAATACATTTGCAAAAATGTCTAAACCTTTTTTTTTCTTTGTCATTATGGGGTAGATTGGGGGGGACTATTTAATCCATTTTAGAATAAGGCTGTAATGTAACAAAGTGGAAAAAGTCAAGGGGTCAGAATACTTTCCGAATGCACTGTATATCTAAGAAATCTCTGGGACAGGACGGCATCCTCGCCAGGGACAGACCTGCTACAGCCTTTAGATAAATATCAATACATACTTATTACATACTTATTATGGATGTGTTATCCCTGGTCAATATCTTGATGGATGTGTTATCCCTGGTCAATGTTGTGATGGATGTGTTATCCCCGGTCAATGTTGTGATGGATGTGTTATCCCTGGTCAATGTCGCGGTGGATGTGTTATCCCCGGTCAATGTTGTGATGGATGTGTTATCCCTGGTCAATGTGCGTGGATGTGTTATCCCTGGTCAATGTTCGGTGGATTGTTATCCCCGGTCAATGTTGTGATGGATGTGTTATCCCTGGTCAATGTCACGGTGGATGGTTATCCCTGGTCAATGTTGTGATGGATGTGTTATCCCCGGTCAATGTTGGTGGATGTGTTATCCCGGTCAATGTCGTGTGGATGTGTTATCCCGGTCAATGTTGGGTGGATGTGTATCCCGGTCAATGTGTGATGGATGTGTTATCCTGGTCAATGTTGTGATGGATGTGTTATCCCTGGTCAATGTGTGGTGGATGTGTTATCCCTGGTCAATGTTGTGATGGATGTGTTATCCCTGGTCAATGTGTGTGTGGCATTGGATGGATGTGTTATCCCTGGTCAATGTTGTGATGGATGTGTTATCCCTGGTCAATGTTGTGGTGGATGTGTTATCCCTGGTCAATGTTGTGGTGGATGTGTTATCCCTGGTCAATGTTGTGGTGGATGTGTTATCCCCGGTCAATGTTGTGATGGATGTGTTATCCCCGGTCAATGTTGTGATGGATGTGTTATCCCTGGTCAATGTCACGGTGGATGTGTTATCCCTGGTCAATGTTGTGATGGATGTGTTATCCCTGGTCAATGTTGTGATGGATGTGTTATCCCTGGTCAATGTTGTGGTGGATGTGTTATCCCCGGTCAATGTTGTGATGGATGTGTTATCCCTGGTCAATGTTGTGATGGATGTGTTATCCCTGGTCAATGTTGTGATGGATGTGTTATCCCTGGTCAATATTGTGATGGATGTGTTATCCCTGGTCAATGTTGTGATGGATGTGTTATCCCTGGTCAATGTTGTGGTGGATGTGTTATCCCTGGTCAATGTTGTGGTGGATGTGTTATCCCTGGTCAATGTTGTGATGGATGTGTTATCCCTGGTCAATGTCTTGAGGTGAACAACCTCATGGAGTGAGAGACTTGACAAGAATGACAAGAGGTCAGCAAGGAGAAGCTTTATAACGTTTCTTATGGTCAATCTGTCCTCCTGTGTACAGCAGAGCAGAATATAGCTCATCAGATTAAATCAAATCAATTTTTATTGGCCACATGCGCCTAATACAACAGGTGCAGACATTAGTGAAATGCTTACTTACAGCCCTTAACCAACAGTGCATTTATTTTTAATAAAAAAGTAGAATAAAACAACAAAAAAGTGTTGAGAAAAAAAGAGCAGAAGTAAAATAAAGTGACAGTAGGGAGGCTATATATACAGGGGGGGTACCGGTGCAGAGTCAATGTGCGGGGGCACCGGCTAGTTGAGGTAGTTTAAGTAATATGTACATGTGGGTAGAGTTAAAGTGACTATGCATAAATAATTAACAGAGTAGCAGCAGCGTAAAAAGATGGGGTGGGGGGGCAGTGCAAATAGTCCGGGTAGCCATGATTAGCTGTTCAGGAGTCTTATGGCTTGGGGGTAGAAGCTGTTGAGAAGTCTTTTGGACCTAGACTTGGCACTCCGGTACCGCTTGCCGTGCGGTAGCAGAGAGAACAGTCTATGACTAGGGTGGCTGGAGTCTTTGACAATTTTGAGGGCCTTCCTCTGACACCGCCTGGTATAGAGGTCCTGGATGGCAGGAAGCTTGGCCCCAGTGATGTACTGGGCTGTACACACTACCCTCTGTAGTGCCTTGCGGTCGGAGGCCAAGCAGCTGCCATCTGAGGACCCATGCCAAATCTTTGCAGTCTCCTGAGGGGAAATAGGCTTTGTCGTGCCCTCTTCACGACTGTCTTGGTGTGTTTGGACCATGATAGTTTGTCGGTGATGTGGACACCAAGGAACTTGAAGCTCTCAACCTGTTCCACTACAGCCCCGTCGATGAGAATGGGGGCGTGCTCAGTCCTCTTTTTTTTCCTGTAGTCCACAATCATCTCCTTTGTCTTGGTCACGTTGAGGGAGAGGTTGTTATCCTGGCACCACACGGCCAGGTCTCTGACCTCCTCCCTATAGGCTGTCTTATCGTTGTCGGTGATCAGGCATACCACTGTTGTGTCGTCGGCAAACTTAATGATGGTGTTGGAGTCGTGCCTGGCCATGCAGTCATGGATGAATCCAGGATCCAGTTGCTTTGAGGGCACTATGGTGTTGAATGCTGAGCTGTAGTCAATGAATAGCATTCTCACGTAGGTGTTCCTCTTGTCCAGGTGGGAAAGGGCAGTGTGGAGTGCAATAGAGATTGCATCATCTGTGGATCTGTTGGGGCGGTATGCAAATTGGAGTGGGTCTAGGGTTTCTGGGATAATGGTGTTGATGTGAGCCATGACCAGCCTTTCAAAGCACTTCATGGCTACAGACGTCAGTGCTACGGGTCGGTAGTCATTTAGGCAGGTGGTCTGCTTGAAACATGGTGGTCTGCTTGAAACATGTTGGTATTACAGACTCAGTCAGGGACATGTTGAAAATGTCAGTGAAGACACTTGCCAGTTGGTCAGCACATGCTCGGAGTACACGTTCTGGTAATCCGTCTGGCCCTGCGGCCTTGTGAATGTTGACCTGCTTAAAAGTCTTACTCACATCGGCTACGGAGAGCGTGATCACATAGTCATCCGGAACAGCTGGTGCTCTCATGCATGCTTCAGTGTTGCTTGCCTCGAAGCGAGCATAGAAGTGGTTTAGCTCGTCTGGAATTCTTGTGTCACTGGGCAGCTCGCGGCTGTGCTTCCCTTTGTAGTCTGTAATAGTTTTCAAGCCCTGCCACATCCGACGAGCGTCAGAGCCGGTGTAGTACGATTCAATCTTAGTCCTGTATTGACGCTTTGCCTATTTGATGGTTCGTCGGAGGGCATAGCGGGATTTCTTATAAGCGTCCGGGTTAGAGTCCCGCTCCTTGAAAGCGGCAGCTCTACCCTAGCTCAGTGCGGATGTTTCCTGTAATCCATGGCTTCTGGTTGGGGTATGTACGTACGGTCACTGTGGGGACGACGTCATCGATGCACTTATTGATGAAGCCAGTGACTGATGTGGTGTACTCCTCAATGCTATCTGAAGAATCCCGGAACATGTTCCAGTCTGTGCTAGCAAAACAGTCCTGTAGCTTAGCATCTGCGTCATCTGACCACTTCCTTAGTAACCGAGTCACTGGTACTTCCTGCTTTAGTATTTGGAGTAGCTTTGTCTTTGTCTCTGCCTCATCTTATAACTTCCTTATTGCTCTCTCACTCTCTCACTCTCTCTCTCTCTCTCTCTCTCTCTCTCTATTGCTTTCTCTCTGTCTCTCTCCAGAGGAGTATGTGGCCAATTCGAAGATGCTGGAGCGGGAGAGTGGAGCTGCCAGCATGCCCCAGCCCCAGCCCCAGCCTCAGTCCCAGTCTTTTGTGTCGGCTGACCCCAGCGCCGTGTGGAGTAGTGTAGCTACGGCAGGGCCAGATACAGCCCCTACCCCCATCGCAGCCTCAACATCGGCCCACTTCCCCTCCACCAAGCTGGTGATAAAGCAGGGAGGAGTGGGGGCGTCTGTCTCCTGGTCCAGCTCCCCAGTTCCTGTAGCCAGGCCAGGGGTTAGACAGACAGACGACACCCAGAGTCACCGCTCCTCCTTCAGCCACGGTCATCCACCTTACTCCTCCCACCGCCCCTCTTCCTCTAACTCCTCCCACCGCCCCTCTTCCTCTCGTCCAGCTGATGATGATGATGATGATGCTCTCCCCCAGAGGAGCAGTAAACCCCCCATGAAGACGTATGCCGCCCGCCCACGTATCGGCTTGAAGCTCAAGATCAAGCAGGAGGCGGGGTTTAGTAAGGTGGTGCACAACACCGCCCTCGACCTGGTCCACACACCATCCACACCCCAGCCTCCAACCAAACCTGCAGCCCAGCCCCAGCCCCAACCCCAACCCCAGCCCCAGCCCCAACCCCAGCCACACCCTACCACCCAGCCCCACCCTACCACCCAGCCCCAGCTAGCACTGACACACCCAAAAGCCAGAGCAGCAGCAGCACTAGCCACGCCTCCTTCTATAACTACTGTCATTAGGACTCCTCCCCCTACCTGTAACGCCGCCACCTCGGCAACGGTCTCCATAGCAACCACACAGGCGACCCCCAGCCCCCAGAGAGTCACAGCCCCACCACCCACCTCCTCCTCTTCCTATCACCCTTGGTCTTCATCAGCATCAACGACAACACAATCCTCATCCTCCTTCACTGCTCAGATGAACGGAACGTTAGAACATCACCCCGCCTCCACGGCCACACCCCCTCAGACCACCTGCCGTCTGCCGCTACGGAAGACTTACCGAGAGAACATCAGCCCGCGCGTCCGTCCAGGCGTACCGGGAGGAGGAGGAGACAGTGTCCCGTACCCCCGTCCCTCCCCCTCGCCCCCCAAATCTCCCCTCCCACCCCCGTCCTCCTCACCCTCTGCCCTCTCGGAGCGGACAGTGATCGCCAGCGTGAAGCTGGAGAAGAGAGGAGGCAGCTCCGGGGAGGGGGGCTCCCACCCCCACGCAGAGCCCAGCCGAGAGGCCCTGAGGCTGGGGAACTCCACCACCTCCTCCCCTGGCTTAGTGCAAGGCCTGGAGCATATGGAGGTGTTGTACCCCCGCCCTCACCTCTCAGACAGTGAGGAGGAGAGTGGGAGAGAAGGAGCGGACCCGGGGAGGTGTAAGAGGGTGAGTAGTAAGAACCGACAGAGGTCAGGGGGCGGGACGTTCAGAATGGACCAGCATGCCCCTGGGCCCCCGTCCTCGCCCCCGTCCTCGCTACCAGACACTTCCTGTTACAGAGACTCATCACTTCCTGCTAAGCGCTGTAAGTTGGACTCCCCTGACATGGACAACGCTAGCTTCTCCTCCGGCTCTCCGCCACACCACGAGTCTCTTAACGAGCACCTGCAGTGTGCCATCGACTCCATCCTCAACCTGCAGGGCCAGGCCCAGGAGCCCACGCCGCGCGGGGCCAAAGGGGGCTCCGCCAGGCCACACCACAGCCAGCCCTCCTCACACACACACAGACCCTCCTCCTCCTCCTCCTCCTCCTCCTCTTCTCAGGTTGGAGGAAGAGGACACAACGGCAGCCTGGTGCCACAGACTCATGGCAGATAGCACACACACACACACGGGACAGGAGAGACCGAAGAGGAGAGGGGGGACAGAGAACTCTCACTATGCTCTGACAAACTGTTTGTCCATCTGAATGTTGTCTACTTTACAGCATGACCCAGTGCTCACAGTCACACCATGGATGGGTGGTGATTTACTCTTTCTCTGTAAAAAGGTATCATGCTTTACTCTGTGGCAGTCTCCTCTGCTCTCTCAACCATTCATTAGAATAATTAGTTTATTATTGTCATTGAGGTTTTTCCTTTTTCATTCACACGCTGTATTCCATTACATTCCTTAGTTATCATGTTATAGCTGCTGTCTGTCTGTCTGTCTGTCTCCTGGTTAAGAAATAAGACCCGGGTCATGTTTAGTAGGTATGAAACGGGAGAAAACATTCTGAAACTAACTTGTCCAATAAGAACACAGATTTTTGTTTTTCTGTTGCAAAATGTTTTACTACGGTGTGCCCAAGGGATCACTCCCTACAGCCAGCTGTCACTAGGTAAACCACACCAGGAGGAGAGAGGCCTGGTTTAGCCATCTCATCATCAATGAAGACATGTAATAATGAGATCACCTGCATGTTAAAACACATCTCTACTGTTGTGAATGCCCCTGGTTGCCTCTGGTTGCCCCTGGTTGCCCCTGGTTGCCTCTGGTTGCCCCTGGTTGCCCCTGGTTGCCCCTGGTTGCCCCTGGTTGCCTCTGGTTGCCCCTGGTTGCCTCTGGTTGCCCCTGGTTGCCTCTGGTTGCCTCTGGTTGCCCCTGGTTGCCTCTGGTTGCCTCTGGTTGCCCCTGGCAAGATGTTGTTTATACTTACAGGACTGCCTGTCTGACTGGTTCAATATGTGTCAACACACAGACGGCCACTCTACCCCCATCACTGTTCATCCTCTCTCCCTCTCTCCCTCCATATCGTCCCTCTCTCCTCCATATCATCCCTCTCTCCTCCATATCATCCCTCTCCTCCATATAACCCTTCTCTCCTCCATATCATCCCTCTCTCCTCCATATCATCCCTCTCTCCCTCTCTCCTGCATATCATCCCTCTCTCCTCCATATCATCCCTCTCCTCCATATAACCCTTCTCTCCTCCATATCATCCCTCTCTCCTCCATATCATCCCTCTCTCCCTCTCTCCTCCATATCATCCCGCTCTCCTCCATATCATCCCTCTCTCCTCCATATCATCCCTCTCTCCTCCATATCATCCCTCTCTCCTCCATATCATTACCCCTCTCTCCTCCATATCATCCCTCTCTCCTCATATCATCCCTCTCTCCTCTCCCTCAATCATCCCTCTCCTCCATATCATCCCTCTCCCTCCCCATATCATCCCTCTCTCCTCCCATCCTCTCCCTCCATACACCCTCTCTCCCTCCATATCATCCCTCTCGTCCCTCTCTCCTCCAAATCATCCTCTCTCCTCCATATCATCCCTCTCTCCCTCTCCCTCCATATCACCCCTCGTCTCCTCCATATCATCCCTCTCTCCTCCATATCATCCCTCTCTCCTCCATATCATCCCTCTCTCCTCCATATCATCCCTCTCTCCTCCATATCATCCCTCTCTCCCTCCATATCATCCCTCTCTCCCTCCATATCATTCCCTCCTCTCCCTCCATCATCCTCTCTCCTCCAGCACCTCCCCTCCAATCCCCTCTCTCCTCCAGATCATCCCCTCTCTCCTCCAGATCATCCCCTCTCTCCTCCATATCACCCCTCTCTCCTCCTTCTCTCCCATATCATCCCCTCTCCCTCCTCCATATCATCCCCTCTCTCCTCCATACTCCTCTCCTCCATATCATCCCTCTCTCCTCCATATCATCCCTCTCTCCTCCATATCATCCCTCTCTCCTCCATATCATCCCCTCTCTCCTCCATATCATCCCCTCTCCCTCTCTCCTCCATATCATCCCTCTCTCCATCCTATCCTCCCCTCTCTCCTCCATATCATCCCCTCTCTCCTCCATATCATCCCTCTCTCCTCCATATCATCCCTCTCTCCTCCATATCATCCCTCTCTCCCTCCAGATCATCCCTCTCTCCTCCAGATCATCCCCTCTCTCCTCCATATCATCCCCTCTCTCCTCCATATCATCCCCTCTCTCCTCCATATCATCCCCTCTCTCCTCCATATCATCCCTCTCTCCCTCCAGATCATTCCCCTCTCTCCCTCCAGATCATCCCCTCTCTCCTCCAGATCATCCCCTCTCTCCTCCAGATCATCCCCTCTCTCCTCCATATCATCCCTCTCTCCTCCATATCATCCCTCTCTCCTCCATATCATCCCCTCTCCAAAGCCCAGTGGACAATTCAAACCCAAACGCAGCGAGAGCAACAACATGGACAAACTAAATAATGTACAAAAAACCTGAAGAGAATTTGAAGTATATTATTACAGATTAATTTTGTATTGTATTTATTGTGTATAATGACACTTTTTAAAAAGAAATGTACATTTAGTAAAACTGTAAATTAAACCTTTTCTGAAAGAGTTGATGCTTATAGTGCTTTTATTACAGTGTCCTATGTTTGTTTATGGAGTTTTCACTGATGTGATTTGACCAGGAAAAACTCTGGGCCTTGCATATTTCTACTTGTTGCCGGACATTCAGGGCAGCCTACATACCGTTGGATGAGTAATGATGACTGAAGAGGTGTTGATTTGGAGAGGGGGGGGGGGGGGGGGGAGAAGAAGGAGGTTGTAATGTATCTGAGAGCCAGCAGGAGGCGACGGTGGTAGTGGAAACATTGCGCTGGGTGATGTGGTGTGCCTGCAGGGTTCAGAGAGGAGGAGCGAGGAGAGAAGGTAGACTGAGTGGAAGATATGTCTAAATGCTGTTACTTAAAGTAAGTCATGAGATGGTCTATGAGAATGTAAATTACATTTTTTTTTTTAAGAACTGGAGGAAACTATAACTGAATAATGCAACCATTGGCAGGATGTGTAATCTCAATGTTATAGACTCTGTATAAGATCTCTGTATGGGGTTGCCATCAAAAAAAAGACTCCACCCAAATAATTTATCCAACTCCCCCATCGCACGTACACACCCTGCTCTCCACCCTTCCCTGCCAGTACCCCACCCAGCCTTTTCCCAGCTCTAAACAGTAGAGATTCAGGGTTAGTCCCAGAGTGTTGCTTGGAATCGCTGGGAGAGGAGGTGCATTGAGAGAGAAGAGAGAGAGGTGTAGTCAGTGTGTCCCTGTCTTCCTCTAGCTACCAGAGAGCGAGACCGAGAGAGAGAGAGAGGACCCCTTCATCTGAAACATATTAAACTCTGGAGAGGAAACATCCCACAGACTGACAGACTTCTGGCAGCCCTTAGCTCACATGAGCTCCTCTGAGTAGCTGGTATTTACTGACAGAGAGGACATCCCATACATGTTGCAGCAGCAACATTCTAAAGCGTTTACCTTTTATTCCGAAGAGACGCTTCTCCCATCTTCACCAGGTAAGGGTTGATTTTCTGATTTTAAACTCATTTTTCCTAAACTGTGTTTCCAAGTTCCCGTCAAAAGGCCTTTTATGGAAATTGTGAGGCAGTGAATGGAAAAGTTGGACGTTTTGGAGTTTGATCAGTGAAATGGTTTGATGAGGGACCACTAAAGTAAACACTGTTCCTACTTTTATAGTGAACTCAAAGCTACATTATGTTAAAGCTGTCTGTTAAAACTACTGAAACGCTGTCTCTGTACACTTCCCCTACTGCGCCACATCTATCTCTATGGCCACAAGCACTGTTCATGATACAAATTGTTCACACCCCTATTTCTTTGGCAGAGGGATCATTTCACAGTTTTAAAGCTTATTTCCTGCAATTCTATACATTTTTCACATGGGATAGACAATTATTTTGTGCCATTTTAAAGCTAATTACCTGCAATTCTACACCTTATGACAAGGGGTGCAGAGAAAAACAATCTGTTTTTAAATCGCATTTCCTGCAATTCTACACATTTTGCCATGTCTTATGTGTTGATGTGATACTTGAGTGACTCAGACATTTCAACAAAATCAATGGGCTAAAAACTGCGCGCTCCCACTGCCAACCTCTCACGACTCCCACTGCCAACCCCCCCCCCCCAGGCGGCACACCCCAGAGTTTGGGAACCACTGCTCTAGAATATTAACTTTTGATTCTATGTGGCTCTGCCAATACTCTAGAATGTTAACTATAGATTCTATTTGGCTCTGCTAGTACTCTAGAATGATAACTATAGATTCTATTTGGCTCTGCCAGTACTCTAGAATGTTAACTATAGATTCTATTTGGCTCTGCCAATACTCTGGAATGTCAACTATAGATTCTATTTGGCTCTGCCAATACTCTGGAATGTTAACTATAGATTATATTTGGCTCTGCCAGTACTCTAGAATGTTAACTATAGATTCTATTTGGCTCTGCCAGTACTCTAGAACGTTAACTATAGATTCTATTTGGCTCTGCCAGTACTCTAGATAGAATGGTAACTTTCTTGTTTCCAGTCCAAGGACTGACTGTGACTGTGTTGCAATGTGTACAAACCCACAAGGCATTTTCCATGATCTTCAACAGTTTGTGAGTTATGCTTTCCTAAAGGAGCCTAACCCAAAACCCAGAGCTAGAGAGTAATTAACCCATAGGAACCCAGATAATCTGTTCTCTCTAATACCCAGTGAATCTGTTAACCCATAGGAACCCAGTGAATCTGTTCTCTCTAATACCCAGTGAATCTGTTATCTCTAATACCCAGTGAATCTGTTATCTCTAATACCCAGTGAATCTGTTATCTCTAATACCCAGTGAATCTGTTATCTCTAATACCCAGTGAATCTGTTCTCTCTAATACCCAGTGAATCTGTTATCTCTAATACCCAGTGAATCTGTTCTCTCTAATACCCAGTGAATCTGTTCTCTCTAATACCCAGTGAATCTGTTATCTCTAATACCCAGTGAATCTGTTATCTCTAATACCCAGTGAATCTGTTCTCTCTAATACCCAGTGAATCTGTT